CTCCTCCTCACACGCACGTCTGCAAGACTTCTCCAGGTCCTCCCCCATCCTCTGGAACTCACTACCCCAATCCATCAGACTGTCACCTTCCCTCCTCACCTTCAGGCGCTCCCTGAAAACCCACCTCTTCAGGGAAGCCTACCCCACCCTCACCTAACTGCTGCTCTCCTTCATTCCTCCTACCACTCCATCCCCCACAGCCACTTCCTCCTGTACCACTACCCCCTCCCTCCCAGATTGTAAGCTCGAAAGAGTAGGGCCCTCTTACCCCTCGTGTGCTGTTCGTAGCTGCTGTAATGTTTCATGTATTGTCCCCCCCTCTATTGTACAGCGCTGAGCAAACCCTTTGGCGCTATATAAACTCAATGTAATGTAATGTAATGTTTAGGGGACAGGATTAAGGGCGGGCAGGGTGGGGGTTGGGTGGGACAACTGGTGGCGAGTAACTCTTTAAGCTAGTAGCTCAGGACTTGAAATTTTGAGCCCTGCAGTAGACCAATATATATCTGAACAGTGTATGTAGCTGTTTGCCTAAAGCACCACCCTAAATGTACAAGCCATTAACCTATCATAAATGATTCAATCTAAAATGCATTTTAGACACTGATGCGATGCGCTTTCAGGAGCAGTTGCGGTGAAATTCTGCAGTGATTCTGATGCAACTTTACACAGCTGAGATTTCTGTTCTGGCTAATTTTTTGACATTAGAAATAAGGTGTATCTCACACTGAAATTGCATTGCATTTGAACACCTATGCGTTTTCACTGTTGTTTCCATTCAAGTCTAAGGTGCTCAAAAATGCACTGCATAGCACCAAACACGCACAGGACCCTTTTGGAAATTGCATTTGGAACTGATAGGTATGAATGACCCCCATATAAAGCTGTGTTCTCTCCCTTGACATGCAAATCTATGCTTTCGGGACCACATCAGGACTGCCTCAGATTCGCATCTTTGTAAAACAGGGTTCAAACCTCAAAATAACCTCTTTAAATGGACATTCCACATTTTGTTTTTCAACTGTCACAGGTTACAGGTTTTAAGAGATCTGTAATTTTTTGCATTAGACTGAGGTTCTCTTTTTAATGACATTATTGTTCTGGATCTCACATGAGCCGCTATCATTGATTTTTCATGTACAGATGTCCTGGACTCATCAGAACCAGAAGAACCAAGTCCTCTACCAGAACCAAGAGAGGCTACACCCCAACCAGCCGTAACAGGCTTGCCACAGGGTACCAGCCAAAGAACAAGACCAGCTATCACCACCATGGGCAGCTTCAGTGAGAGTGTTCATGGTGAGGGTGTCATTTTTTTTTTTTCCTGTCACATTTAATGATATCTTTCTATGTTAAACCTTGTATGTCTTTTTTTAACAATACAACCCCGTTTGGTATACCAGTTGTTGTCTTAGAATCATAGGGTATAATAGCCAAATATTAGTGGGGCTCTCCAGCTATTGTTGGTCTTTGAAATTTGGCCAGTTCAGCCAGGGTCAACTGAATTTCAGTCAATGTATATCTGTCCCTGTTCAACGGAAGTCTAACAGACCTGTTGGAAAATGTTATTAGTGGCTGAAGGCAATCCGCTACAGCCAGTGATCAATGTATTCTCACAGCTGTGGGTGTCGGTCAGAATACAATGTCCCAGCAGGGGGATTGCCACATCTGTTATGGATGGATGAGCAGAGTATGGCCAGCTTTATTCTCCCTGTTGCAGCTGACAGCATCAAAATTGACAACAGGCATCATTGATCCTAAAGGATAAGTTCACTGTTTTTAACATGTTACACCCATATTTAGGGTTCAAATTGTAACATGTTACAGTCAGACTGACCCCCGCTCCCCCTGATCCCTGCTTTTACAGCTAGCTGGGGATCTTCTCTCCCCCTGCTAGCTGTCAAATTTTGAAAAAAAATGCGCCCATGCGGGGCTCCAGCCACGTCACTCATTCATAGTCCTCTGTAAATGAGAAACTTCAAGTCCCGACAGCCTTAGTGACTGTTGGCTTGTATTTGTCAATGAATTACCATGGTGCTGTGGAGCACCATGGTAGTTAATTCATTCTTCCTGTCTGTATATCTTTTACCCGTGCATCCCATACGGGCAAGCAGATATATTGACAGATCTGCAGGAGACCTGCATGGCACCAGCGATCTGCTGATCGCTGGTGCAGTGCTTTACAGGCTCTTGCAGACAAAAATAATAAATGCTAATTTTTTTAACCTGAAATAAAATGTGTATTTATTATTTTTTACTAAAAGGTGAACCTATTCTTTAACATAAAGTATGCCAAAATCAAGGACAGACAGCAGGCGATGAGTTGTAAGCATAGCCAGTACACTACAAGGACACAGTGTTTTGGATAAAAGTTAAAGGGGTAGTAACAATAATTATAACAATATATTTAAAATCAAGGGAAACATTTTAATTACACTACAACAATCGTACAAATCTCTTTCAACTTTAGCATCTTTAAACTTTATTTGTGGAACTACAAATTTTAGCTGTTTTGTTAAGGTTATTGCTGAGTAGAAACTTTAGAATTTCTGACTGCTTTAGACACACAGAGTTAATGTCACTCTAAAGACAGATAAGCAAATGCTTCTTACTGCATAGAGTGATATCCATGTATAAATGACCCTGAGGTCTGACTTTAGCCCTTCTATAGTGGACAGTTTAACATCCTCCCTAATGGGACCCCTCTCCTACCCCATGCCCCATAGCAGCTACCTGGGCAGCGATGGCTGTTGTTATGCCACTGGTCATAGATAAAGTGTATCTAAAGCCAAAACGTTTTTGATTTTTTTGGATAGAGTGTCCGCACTGGGGAGATTTACAGTACCTTCTTCATTTGTACTGGTGATCATTATCACCTGGATAGAAAGGAGGAATCCAAAATTCTGAGGTGTCATCGGAACAAAAACAGGTGAAATCTTCTAGTGAGGACACATCTGAGGGAAGTGAAAGGGGATCTCCTCAGTAGGACACAGTTCACAAAAACCATTCCCTCCTCTATCCAAAATTAAAAGTAAAAACTTGTGGCTTTAGATATTTCTTATTCAGCACCAGCTAATAATTGTCCCATCAATAAACGATTGGATGTCATCTGTTGTATTTCTAAGCTTCAACAGAAGAATGACAGCTAGAATCTGACCAGTTGCTTTGGGTAACACCTTCACTTGCCTTCTCTGTACTTCATCTTTCCTTTTGTACATGTACCCTAACTAGAAGCTGTCAGCGTTAACCGGATAAACCAACCAATTGCTAAAGATGACAACAATAACACCTCCATTCTGATTGGCTGCCTGGTGGTCATAATCTTGCTTTTATTGGTCGTCATCATCCTTATCCTCTGGAGGCAGCGTTGGAAGAGACTGCTGGGCAAGGTAAGAGATTAGATGGATCACAAGGGGATAGAAAGACACAGTATAAGCCTGTGGGACATGGAAATAGAGAGCACATATTAAACAACTAGCAATCATTTAATACATCTATTAGAGCAAATGTGATAATGACAAATGTTATTTCTAAGGTTACTGCCTCTTTGTCCCAACAGTAAGGTATGAGTTTTCATTCTGATCTGATAGCCAGGGCTCTGCTGTGAGCTGGACTTGCTGGCCTCCTTTTCTAGAATGCATTTTACATACTGTATATTATTATCGAGAATCCCTTGGGAGTTGGTGAAACCATAATTCTGCTGTTCCCAGCTTCCCAAGTGGTGTCTGCTTAGGAAAATATGGATAATGACCTCTAGAGAGAGAGGCGGCCTAAATCTGAATCCTGACTGTCACAGCAGGATCCAGAGCAGAGAACATATACTGTTGGGTCACTGACAGCAATAATGACCAGGCAAGGGGTAAAACCCTTTCACATTCCAAAATAAAGCCCAGTCCAGGTTTCCAAATGAACTACCTGACCCTTTCCCCGACATATAATGATTAAAAGTATACATATGTGGTCCTTCATTGGGCTGTAAGTGGGTTTCAGTGGTGTTCACATGGTGCAGTTCTGTGACAGCTGAGTTACTTTCTTTGCAACGATATACTATGAGTCCAGGCTGCTTAATCATGCTGAGCCAAGGAATGTTTTCAATGCAGCCTGGGTAGAGGCTCAGCATCCTCCAACATGCATGGGCAGCAACCACTGTGCAAGGAGGACACAAAGAGCAGCACTGAAGCACTAAATTATTGTAATATATTTTAAAAACTAAGCCAGAGTTGGGCTTCAACAGTACATTTATAAAACCATTGTGGGCACCCATTTCAATCCTGGGAGCTTCAAATGCAGCCCTGGCTCACTTTAACTGCAGCAACGGTTGACCTCCTTCTGAAAATGCTAGTTGGGTGTCTCTGGCTTCAATATTTTTATAAAACACTGACTCAGAACAAGAACAAAGATCAGACTTGTGATCGGCTTACATATTCCAGATCTGTGGCTCAGAGAGTACTGAAGTCAGTGGATTAGCATGATAGCCAGGGAATAAACATTTTAGCAATGGCTGCCTACATGTTTCCTCAGCTTAATCCTAAAGACTGGAGCCATCCCAGGGTAGCAAAAAATTCTGTATTGCTGATTTCTGCATACCAGGCCGAACTGTATATTCATTCACAATTCATGCAGTAAAGGCTTTCGAACGGGAAGACTGGTAATATTATCCTATTGATTTTTAAAACAGCTACTCTAGTTGTTATGGCAATTAAGTCGTGTTTTTTTTCATGCAATGTATGTGCAATCCTCTTTTTCTGGTTGCTATGACAGGTGAATTGGCTGTAACCCCGACAAACAGAAATTTTTTTTTTTTCTACTATTTACTTCCAGGCCCAGCATCGCCCCTCCGACAGTGACCTCACTGCCCACCTCTCCCTCCCTTCTGACACTGTGGTCATCAACAACACACAGAACCTCTCGCTGGCATCCCGCCACAGTAACCGCTATGAGCGCATTCTGACTACAGAGGGGGGGAGTACCAGGAGCCAAGCCACAGCGCCCTTGCCAAGATGCCTACTTTGTGCTCCAGCTCTGAGGGTGCAGGTCAGAAAGACTTTTATGTATCTCAGGCAGTGTGTATGCATGTATATAGAGGGCTTTGTGCATGTCTGTAGGGGGTATTGAAATTCATCTGCATGCAACATACGTATTTACAGATGATTTTACTAAATGCATGACTATATTTATCGGTTCAGGTGAGAAGGAAATCATAACTGATGTTGTCCTAACCAAGTATTCTATGTTTTAATTCATGTTTGCCCTAATGTTTATGTGTTTATATACTGTATACTTGTGTTGTGCCACAGTATAACGCAAACCCATTTAATAGCCACAGAGAGTGGCAAACTGTGGATCACTGGCTGCAGAGGAACTACAGGTCCCAGCAATGCTCACTAGTGTCTGCTAAAGTACCTCAGGTTGCCAACCTCTGCTAAGGATAATGCTTAATCCCAACATAAGTGTCAGTATTCCTGCTCAAATCAGATTCTGGTAAATTGGACAACTAAGTAAGTTCTATCTTTAGAGAACCTTCCATGACAAGGCAAAGAAATTATTTTATAACATACTCTGTAAGTGGCCATCTTTATCTATCATGCTCTGCAGTGACAGCACAGGCACGTAACATATCTGATCTTCAGTGTTGGAGCTCTCCAGTCAGCAGGGGCATGAGTTTTGCTGATTGAAGAGCTATAGGTTTGACTCACCGCGGAGCACGTCAGACCTCTGCAGAGAGTCTGCTGCTTCCCCGAAAAGAGCAAAGGTTCTACTCTGCAGCATTCTGACAAGGTGCAGGATTTTCCACCATGGCTGCTTTATAAAGAAATGAACTGTAAGACTTGGCATGATTTTTGTATTGATGCACCTGGAATGTTTTTACCTGATTTATACTAAAGATTGTTTGAGTTTTAAAACACAGTAAGGTAATTGTGTTATCAGTGTACATACAGAATATGCAAACTTCTGAGTGACTCATTTATCTCAGTCAGGTGTAGTGGAATATTGACCTGCTGTGGACTTTGATGTTGTATATTTTCTGTATGTCATAAACCTATTAGTCTATGTGGGAAGGCAGTTGTGTGCATGTGTATGTATATGTATATAATATTGTGTCCATGGTGTCTGCATGTTTATTGAGGTGTACACTCTGTACTCTGCATGTGTCTCTCCAGCTCTACTGTTAAACAACCCAGCCTATGAGCTCCTGCTTGCCACCTACAGCCGGCCAATCACAGAACCTGGCGGCCTGCAGGCTAAGCCAATCAACAGCCAGGGTAAGGGGCTGTCATGTTGGAGTTGCCCACGATACAAGATGGCCAACTCCATACTACACGTATATATTTCTTTCTACTGTCCAATTTACTGTCCTTCTCTGTATCTAATTCTTTACTGCCTGGATGGTTCTTAATGGTGTCATCTTTATGTTTTATACTATCATATGAATTGTTATGCTATCCCAAACTTTATAGGTGGACCTTTTCTTCTTTCCACCTTCCTATTACTTCATGCTCCTTTTGCTATCTTTATTATTCTTTATTTTCTTAATTATAACCCTATCCTTCCTTACTCTTTCTTACTTTTTCTCTTTCTCCCTAGAAGGGGGGTACAGAGAGCTGGAGTCCCCTAAGTTGCCTGCCATTTGCCCTCCAAGTGTCCCCCACTATGCAGAAGCAGATATTGTCACTCTGCAAGGGGTGACAGGAGGTAACACCTATGCTGTACCTGCCCTGACTGCAGACACTCTGACCTCCAAAGAATTGCCCCTCAGCAAGTTTCCTCGAGGACATCTCCTCTTCCGAGAGAAGCTGGGGGAAGGCCAGTTTGGAGAGGTAATTGTTATATCTACAGATGTTGATTAAAGAATGAAAAGCATACAGTGCCTTGAAAAAGTATTCGTACCTCCTTGAAATTTTACACATTTTGTCATGTTACAACCAAAATCTTAAATGTATTTTATTGGAATTTTATATGATAGACCTACACAAAGTGGTACACAATTGTGAAGTAGAAGGAAAATGATAAATGGGTTTAAATTTTTTTTTTCAAATAAATATTTAAAAAGTGTGGAATGCAATTTTTATTTAGACCCCTTTATTCTGATACCCCTAATTGCCTTCACAAGTCACCTAATTAGTAAATCCACCTGTGTGTAATTTAATCTCAGTATAAATACAGCTGTTATCCCAAGCTTTGAGCATCTCACAGAGCACTGTTCAATCCGTCTTCCAAAAATGGAAAGCGTATGGCACAACTGCAAACCTACCAAGACATGGCCGTCCACCTAAACAGGCCGAGCAAGGTGAGCATTAATCAGAGAAGCAGCCAAGAGGCCCATGGTAACTTTGGCACAGCTGCAAAGATCCACAGCTCAGGTGGGAGAATCTGTCCAGAGGACAACTATTAGTCTTGCACTCCACAAATCTGGCCTTTATGGAGGAGCCATTGTTGAAAGAAAGCCATAAGAAGTCCCATTTGCAGTTTGCGAGAAATCATGTGGGGGACACAGCAAACATGTGGAAGAAGGTGCTCTGGTCAGATGAGACCAAAATTGAACTTTTTGTCCTAAAAGCAAAACGCTATGTGTGGTGGAAACTAACACTGCACATCACCCTGAACACACCATCCCCACTGTGAAATATGGTGGTGACAGCATCATGTTGTGGGGATGCTTTTCTTCATCAGCTTTTTTGGCTGTACTTCTAGTGTGGATCACAGGAGTGCAGTTTGTTCTGCACTCCTGTGACCCATTTTCAGCTGACAGCGGACTGAAGTCTGCTGTCGGCTGAAGTCACTCAGTTGGTCCAGGCTGGGGAAAGATCCTGACTTCAGAGTCGGGATCACCCCCAGAGTCTGGAGTGGCGAAGCACTGAGAGCCTGAACCAGCCGCTCCCTCCCTCTCCACAGCCCTGCGCTCCAGTGAGCACTGGGGGGGGCTGAGCAGAGAGCGGTGACTGACAGTCCTGCTCTCTGCTCAGAGCAGCTGTGAGAACTCAGTGATCTCCTAGATTGTAAGCTCGAAAGAGCAGGGCCCTTGAACCCCTCGTGTGTTGTTTGTTGCTGTATTGTCTCATGTTCTGTCCCCCACTATAATGTACAGCACTCAGCAAACCTTTTTGGCGCTATATAAATACTGTATAATAATAATCATGTGATTGCTGAGTACTCACCCTTAGAGCTGGCAGGGGACAGATGTAGCATCGGACCAGTGCTGCATCTACCTAGGTAAGTATAAATAGGGGGGAAAAAAAAGCCCTACTTCTCTTTTAAAACATGTTGGACAGAGAAGGCAGAGTAGAATATAAAATTTTTTTTCATATTGGGGCTCCTTGAAGTCATACAAAACAAGGAAATGAGGGGGTCCATAGGAACAGCCAATCCTCCTATTAGATTAACAGTAGAAATGAGCTCCATTCAGTAATTTTGTAGACAAGGGCAAGTCCATAACATATGTATTAAGGTGTGCCTACTTCAGTGGAGCATCTCTGACAGACAGCTGTATTTAATATTGAGTATATAGAGGAAAGAGGTTTGTCTAGGTCAGTGATGGCGAACCTTTTTGAGCCCAAGTGCCCAAACTGCAACTCAAAACCAACTTATTTCTTTCAAAGTGCCAAACACTGCAATGAAACCTGAATATCGAGCTTTTGGTTTAGAAAAAACAACTCGTAGAGTAGTGCAAACTAATTAACAGTACAGGGATGACCAGAGACTGCGGACACAGTACAGGGATGACAGAGACTGCGGACACAGTACAGGGATGACCAGAGACTGCGGACACAGTACAGGGATGACAGAGACTGCGGACACATGACCAGAGACTGCGGAGTACAGGAGATGACCAGAGACTGCGGACAGTACAGGGATGCGGACACAGTACAGGGATGACCAGAGACTGCGGACACAGTACAGGGAGACCAGAGACTGCAGACACAGTACAGGGATGACCAGAGACTGCGGACAGTACAGGGATGACCAGAGACTGCGGACACAGTACAGGGATGACCAGAGACTGCGGACACAGTACAGGAGATGACCAGAGACTGCGGACAGTACAGGGATGACCAGAGACTGCGGACACAGTACAGGAGATGACCAGAGACTGCGGACACAGTACAGGGATGACCAGAGACTGCGGACAGTACAGGGATGACCAGAGATGCGGACCAGGAGACTGACTGCGGACACAGTACAGGAGATGACAGAGACTGCGGACACAGTACAGGAGATGACCAGAGACTGCGGACAGACTGCGGACACAGTACAGGGATGACCAGAGACTGCGGACACAGTACGATGACCAGAGACTGCGGACACAGTACAGGAGATGACAGAGAGATGACAGACAGTACAGGATGACCAGAGACTGCGGACAGTACAGGGATGACAGTACAGGGATACAGGGATGACCAGAGTACAGGGATGACCAGAGACTGCGGACACAGTACAGGGATGACCAGTACAGTACAGGGATGACCAGAGACTGCGGACACAGTACAGGAGATGACCAGAGACTGCGGACACAGTAGACCAGAGACTGCGGACACAGTACAGGAGATGACCAGAGAGACTGCAGGAGATGACCACAGTACAGGAGATGACCAGAGACTGCGGACACAGTACAGGAGATGACCAGAGACTGCGGACACAGTACAGGGATGACCAGAGACTGCGGACACAGTACAGGGATGACCAGAGACTGCGGACAGTACAGGGATGACCAGAGACTGCGGACACAGTACAGGGATGACCAGAGACTGCGGGTACAGGGATGACCAGAGACTGCGGACACAGTACAGGGATGACCAGAGACTGCGGACACAGTACAGGGATGACCGGACACAGTACAGGGATGACCAGGACTGCGGACAGTACAGGGATGACCAGAGACTGCGGACAAGTACAGGGGATGACAGTACAGGGATGACCAGAGACTGCGGACAGTACAGGGATGACCAGTGACTGCGTACAGTACAGGGATGACCAGAGACTGCGGACAGTACAGGGGATGACCAGAGACTGCGGACAGTACAGGGATGACCAGAGACTGCGGACAGTACAGGGAGTGACAGAGACTGACGGACAGTACAGGGATGACCAGAGACTGCGGACACAGTACAGGGATGACCAGAGAGACACAGTACAGGGATGACTGGACAGACTGCAGAGACTGCGGACACAGTACAGGGATGACCAGAGACTGCGGACACAGTACAGGGATGACCAGAGACTGCGGACAGTTACAGGAGATGACCAGGAGACTGCGGACCAGTACAGGGATGACCAGAGACTGCGGACACAGTACAGGGATGACTGCGGACACTGTACAGGGATGACCAGAGACTGCGGACAGCACAGGGATGACCAGAGACTGCGGACAGCACAGGGGTGACCAGAGACTGCGGACTGCACAGGGATGACGGGACAGTACACAGATTGCTGACCTTTGGGGAGGGGGGGAGGAGCGGGTACCTGAATTTGACAGGTACCCGCTCTTACTTCCGCAGAGTTTTTTTTTTATCTTACCTGTTCCTTTATCCAGCCGCGCGCTGTCTTCCCGGCTTCTGTAGTGTGGGCGCTCGTCGGACAGCCGGATGCCCAGTGCGCATGCGCGAGAAGCGCTGCATTTGTGATTGGTCCGGCGGCTTCTGGGATCTGTCATGTGTCCCAGGTACCTCCTTACCATTCACAAAGAGCACTGCTTCTTGTGCATGCGCACTTGGGACCCGGCTGTCACGCACACTACAGCCGGGAAGACAGCGCGCCGCTGGATTCTCCTGGCGTGCCCACAGATAAGGCTCGGCGTTCCGGCTGTGGCACGCGTGCCACGGGTTCGCCATCACTGGTCTAGGTCTTTCACAATAAGTATGCTCTCCATACGGTGAAAAATCAGCAATAACCTATTCGGGAATTGTCTGCATAAGAAAGTTTTAAAATATGAAAAACATAGAATTTGACAGGTGGAAATTAGCCTTTAATGGGTCAAAGTTGAGAAGTCAGCCCTGTGAAATAATGTGACTAAGAACCTAATGCAATAGCTGGCCCAAAGCTGAGGGTCAGATACAATAAGTAGATGAGGCAAATTAGGATTCCTCCATAGCGGGGTATGAGAGAAAGGTAATTCATTTTATAGTACCTCGATGATGCCTGTCTCCATACTGCCAATGTGCTTTTTTTTCATAGAGGTGTGATAGCCCATTTTTGACTGGGGACCTTGAAAGGAACCCCCATTTCCAATGTGACTGCCCGGGCTAAGCAAACTACCAGCATACAGTGACTAATACTGCTGCCCAGTAATATTTTAAGGAGTTGGGAAGTGCAAGTCCGTCGATTGTAAAAGGATGGTATAAAGCCACCTTGGCCAGCCTGGGGGTTTTCCCTGCCAAAATAAAAAAAAGGTGACGATGCCATCAATTTTTTCAAAGCAGGATTTAGGTATCACTACTGGGGACTATCTGAAAAAATAAAGGAATTTAGGTAGGAAAACCATTTTAATTAAGTTAGCCTTGCCCACTGGGCCCAAAGGCAGAGACACCCAGCCCAAACATTTGTGAGAAAAGTGATTTATTAGGGGTTTAAATTGTCTGGAATATAGCAAGAAAGATCCAATTTCATCTTGATTCCAAGATATTTACATTTAAAAACTTGGTGAACGGGAGTGGGTGCTGTTGTAGGAAGTGCCAATGGGCTGAGTTGGAATAGTAGGCTTTTCTCCCAGTTTATTTTAATGCCCAAGTAGGATCCAAAGGAGTTGATCTCCAGTGCAGATTGTAGTGAGAAGGTAGCATCACCCAGATACAGGAGGATGTTTAATGAGAGATCCTCTCTTCCCAAGAACCTTTTGATAGACCTTTGATTGAAGCACTCTCCCTAATAAGAATGGCAAGAGTCTCTAATAAAGAGCCCAGGAGAGATTAGATAGACTTGAAATGTGCAATTCAAATGGAGGCCCAAAGTCAAATCTAGAGTACATTTTCCAAGGGTATCCCCACTCAACTGAATTGAATGCCTTCTCTGTGTCGAGACACTACTGCCCTCACACCCCCTGCCTTCGTGACCATTGATGTTATTGACAAGGTGACAAATAGTAATGTCAGTACCTTTCAGGCATAAACCCAGTTTGGTCTGCATGAACCACTGTGGAGATCACTCCCATTAAACAATTTGCAAGGAATGTAGCAAAAACCATTGTGTCAACACATAGGAGAGAATTAGGGTGGTATGAGGGACATTGGGTGGGACCCATACCTGGCTTAGGAATTACTACTATAGCTGCTTCCAGACATCGATGTGTGTAGTTTACCCTCATGTAAGGCTTTATCCAAGATCTTGTGAAATATAGGTGCAAGATCCTCAGAGTCAAACTCCACCAGAAGACCATCAGGTCTCAAGGTTTTCCCTGATTGGAATGTAGTTGTAGCTTTAAGGGTCAGTCTACAGAGCAGGTTATGGGTTGAGTTCTTATTTTTTTCTTCTTTGGTTTTCCAAAATAATTAAATGTCTAATCTTAATGGTTGATATAGGTTGCCACACACTTTTTCACTGCCTTATTAAAGTCCACACAAAATTGACATTTTAGTTATGAATTGAAAGATAGGTACTAAACCAGTGCCTTTGCTGTAGAAACCAATGTTCCAAGCTTCCTCTGGTACCAGGCATGTGAACAAATCCTGGAGCACTGTTTAAGTGACCTCTGTCGAAGAGACATGAGGAACTTACTGTACATTCAAATAATGCAAACCAGCGATCACTTTCCTTGAGCTGATCCTACTCTTCAGCTCCAGGGTTTGGTCATGTAGGTGACATTGGTGGGAGTTCTGGTTTCTCAAACAAATATATTCTCTTTTTCTATTTAAAATTTTGTCCAATGTGTCTTTTTAGGTGTTCCTGTCACTGCCATATTTCTCTTTTAGGAATTCTATATAGTTTTTGTTTCCTTTCTGTAATACTGAATGGTATCTGAGATAAATATTACTCAGTACACTTCTGCTATACATTGCAGGTTCACCTGTGTGAAGTGGTCAATCCTCATGAACTACCTGTTCTACAGTTTCCTTTCAACATGCGCAAGGGGAGGAGTCTTCTTGTAGCTGTGAAGTTACTAAGGGCAGATGCAAATAAGAATGCCAGGTAATCCTTTTATGTTATTATATAAGGAAGCTATTGGAGTACGTGTATCTTTCTCAGGCTCCTCCTTGATTCAGATTTTTAGACCTCAGTCACATGGCCAAGTTGGCTATCATGGGCAAAGTATCCTGCAGATATCTGTAGACAGGAGCCCAGGTGTTTTCAGGCAACCACAGCCATAAAGCCTATGCAAGTCAATGAAAGTCTGAATGGAGTTGAGGCTGTCAGCTACTGTAAGCATGTATCTGTACCTGAAGTTGCTACATGAAGTTAGTGACAGCTCATTGGCCCTGGACACAGACAGATCTCATCAAGCAGTGAGGATGATTTACTAAAACTAGAGAGTGCAAAATCTGGTGCAGCTGTGCATGGTAGCCAATCAGCTTTTAACCTCAGGTTGTTCAATTAAGCTTTGACAATAAAACCTGGAAAAAATATAAATATATGGCGAGCGCTGATATGAGGAAAACAAGCTACTAGCACAAGAGACAGTGACAATGGATCTTGTAAGAAATATATGCAAAGTGCTGCGCTGAATATTAAATAGAAGAAATTATAACACCAGTGCAAATTATATAAAGATAAATCACAAAAATAAAGGCTAAATGTAAAATAATCCATAAACTAAATAATGCAATAAGCAAATATATGGCATTCACAAAATGAAATAAATCAGTGTAAGTGAAATAAAGTGGAGTGATGTGTCCATGCCACTACAAGACACAGCAGACACAGCAGTGCTCAGTTCCAAATCAATCAGTGTATGTAAGATGAAGCAATGGGGTTTATTTACTAAAGCTGGAGTGTCCAAAATCAGACTCCCTTCTGCATAGAAACCAATCAGCTTCCAGGTTTCATTGCCAAAGCTTCATTGAACAAGCTCAGGTTAGAAGCTGATTGGTTTCTATGCAGAAGGGAGTCTGATTTTGGACTCTCCAGCTTTAGTAAATGAACCCCAATGTGTCCATGGCACTACAAGACACAGTAATGTTCAATTCAAAACAGGTGCTGTGGAATCCAGTGAGACAATCCACCACCGCTATGCACTCACCGGAAAGCTACTGGTGTAGCAGCATTGTGTAAACTCTCAGATGGAGACTTGAAAGCTTTGACCAGAAGGACTTCTCCTAAGGAAAAAAGCATCTGTTCATAAGCTCATATTTATGAGGGTCTTCAAAGTGTGTGTCCAGCCAATTTTCCTTCTTAGTTTTAGATAAAGTCAGAAAGGTTTAGAATCCCTGGAGAGCTTTACTACTCCCTAGATTTCCCTCACTTCCCGTGTTTATGACAATGTTTTACCAGACAGAAAGAGAGTGGAACTCTGCAAAATCTATGTCTACTCTGCCTCTCCTTGTTGGTTCCCTTTTCAGGCTGCTTCTGTGCAGCCAGCGTCTATTCTCCCCCACCACCTTTTTGAAAACTCTATTGTTCCAAACATGCGCAAGATAGAGCGTAAGACGTCATGCACCTTAGGGTGATACACTTAGCGGTGGTGGATTGTCTCACTGGATTCCACAGCACCTGTTTTGAATTGAACACTACTGTGTCTTGTAGTGCCATGGATACATCACTCTACTTTTTATTTCACTTACACGGTTTTATTTCATTTTGTGGATGCCATATATTTGTTTATTGCATTATTTAGTTTATGGATTTATTATTTTACACCTAGCCTTTATTTGTGTGATTTTATCATTATATAATTTTCATTGGTGTTTATAATTTCTGGTATTTGAATATTCACTTTGCACATATGTATTTAATATACACTTTGCATATATAATAAAACCTGGAAGCATGCTGGAACAGAGAAGGGCCTTCCCCAAACTACTGCCCCAGGGTTCAATGTGTACAGTTGTCTAAAGTGTCCTTGTTTGCTGTGGTAAGTATTCTTTTCTAGGAACACCTGAGCTCAATATTTTGGAGGATGGCCACATATGTATGACCATCTAGTGCAGTGGTCTCCAAACTGCGGCCCGGGGGCCAGATATGGCTCTTTGCCTGCTTTTATCCGGCCTTGGGGCACTATTTTCATCCACTGATATCAACAATGAGGCATAATCCCACCCCCACCCCTCCACTGACACCAATGAAGGGGAAGAAATTCTCCCAATGACACCAAAGATGGTGCACAATTACTCCCAATAACACAAACAATGAGGCCAATGACACTAATAATGGTTCACTTTTCCTCTCACACCAAAGATGCTACATTTTTTTTATTCCCGCTGATGTTGGGACCTTTTCTACTCCCAATGCCCACAGTCCAGCCCCACTTAAGTCTGAAAGACAGTAAACTGGCCCTTTGTTTACAAAGTTTGGAGACCCCTCATCTAGTGTATAGAGTAGGATTCTAGAAAAGGATTCACCAGCCTCTAGCCAGCAAGCCAGCAGTGAAATATAAATGCTCTTTGAACTGATGATGCTTTGAGGTTGACCCTCTCCTGTATTCCAATGTCTGTAATTTTCTGGTTGGTCTACAGGAGTGATTTCCTGAAGGAATTAAAGATCCTGTCTCGTCTGAGTGACCCACACATCATACGTCTCTTGGGGGCCTGTCTGGATGAGGACCCACTGTGCATGATTACCGAGTACATGGAGAATGGAGACCTTAATCAGTTCTTGAGTTCCCATCAGCTGGCGGAGGAGGATGAGAGCATGGAAGATGGGCACAACCCTCCCTGCATCAGGTGAAGAAACCACTTTATTCAGATTTATGTGGATTTGGGTGCTAGGCCTTATAGAAGTGTGTAAAATAAAACCTGTATGCTTTTGCCTCAGGTACAGTAGACAATCAAATTCCAACTGTTGTTTTCAGAAGAATGGATAGGGAAACAAAACAGTAGGAATGTAATTGCTAGGAGCAACAGAGAGGATTTTTTTTTAAACTTTGACAAAAAAGCATCCTGTAGGCTAATTGAGTGAAGTAGACAGGAAAGTACTGTCAACACTAGCAGCCAGTAAGAATTGCTAAGCTGATTAGAGTGACACTAAATCAGATTATTTTTAATGACTTGATGAACATTCTTGCTCTTTGTACCACTTTGCTACTGAAAGATGGAGTACCAAAGGAAATCCACACCAAAGATAGGAGAACATACATTTGAATCCCACCAGGGCACTACCTGTCTGTAGTTTGCATGTTCTCCCTATGCCTATGTGGGATTTCTCCATATACCCTGGTTTCCTCCCACATCCAAAGGCATGCTGATAGGTTATTGGCTCCTTTCTAAATTAGATCTAGTATGTGCATGTATGAATATGAGCCTGGATCTTAGATTGTAAGCTCCTTGAGAGCAGGGACTGATGTGAGTGTACAATGTATATGTAAATTGTCAGCACTATATACAGTATCTCACAGAAGTGAGTACACCCCTCACCCTCTTTTCATGTGACAACACTGAAGAAATGACACTTTGCTACAATGTAAAGTTGTGAGTGTACAGCTTGTATAACAGTGTAAATGTGCTGCCTCCTTTAAAATAACTCAACACAGCCATTAATGTCTGAACTGCTGGCAACAAAAGTGAGTACACCCCTGAGTGAAAACGTCCAAATTGGGCCGTTAGCCAGTTCCCCTCCCCGGTGTCATGTGACTCCTTAGTGTTACAAGGTCGCAGGTGTGAATGGGGAGCAGGTGTGTTAAATTTGGTGTTATCGCTCTCACTCTCTCATACTGGTCACTGGAAGTTCAACATGGCACCTCATGGCAAAGAACTCTCTGAGAAAATAATTGTTGCTCTACATAAAAATGGCCTAGGTTATAAGAAGATTGCCAAGACCTGAAACTGAGCTGCAGCACGGTGGCCAAGACCATACAGTGGTTTAACAGGACAGGTTCCACTCAGAACAGGTCTCGCCATGGACAACCACAGAAGTTGAGTGCACGTGCTCAGCATCATATCCAGAGGTTGTCTTTGGGAAATAGATGTATGAGTGCTGCCAGCATTGCTGTAAAGGTTGAAGGGGTGGGGGGGTCAGCCTGTCCGTGTTCAGACCATACACCGCACACTACATCAAATTGGTCTGCATGGCTGTCGTCCCAGAAGGAAGCTTCTTCTAAACATTATGTACAAGAAAACCCGCAAACAGTTTGCTGAAGACAAGACTAAGGACATGGATTACTGGAACCATTTCCTGTGGTCTGATGAGACAAAGATAAACGTATTTGGTTCAGATTGTGTCAAGCGTATGTGGTGGCAACCAGGTGAGGAGTACTAAGACAAGTCTGTCTTGTCTACAGTCAAGCATGGTGGTGGGAGTGTCATGGTCTGGAACTGCATGAGTGCTTCCAGCACTGGGGAGCTACAGTTCATTGAGGGAACCATAAATGCCAACATGTACTGTGACATACTGAAGCAGAGCATGATCCCCTCCATTCCGAGACTGGGTCACAGGGCAATATTCCAGCATGATAACGACCCCAAACACACCTCCAAGACGACTACTGCCTTGCTAAAGAAGCTGAGAGTAAAGGTGATGGATTGGCCAAGCATGTCTCCAGACCTAAACCCTATTGAGCATCTGTGAGGCATCATTAAACGGAAGGTGGAGGAGCGTAAGGTCTCCAACATCCACCAGCTCTGTGATGTCGTCATGGTGGAGTGGAAGAGGACTCCAGTGGCAACCTGTGAAGCTCTGGTGAACTCCATGCCCAAGAGGATTAAGGCAGTGCTGGAAAATAATGGCAGCAACACAAAATATTGACACTTTGGGCCCAATTTGGACATTTTCACTTAGGGGTGTACTCCCTTTTGTTGCCAGCAGTTTAGACATTAATGGCTGTGTGTTCAGTTATTTTGAGGGGACAGCACATTTACACTGTTATACAAGCTGTAGCAAAGTGTAATTTCTCCAATGTTGTCACATGAAAAGACATAATAAAATATTTACAAAAATGTGAGGGGTGGACTCACTTCTGTGTGATACTGTAAGTACCTGTAATAAATAAATAATACATTATGCTAAAATTGTTTTAACTGGGGATAAATGCAGTATCCCATTATTACAATGGAGACACCAACTCACCCCAGGGGCTTTTTTTTTTCAATAGGCTAAACAACAATGTGCAAAGTAACCTTTAGCAATAAGTCCGAAATAAGCCTTCATAGATTCTGATACAGTAAAGGTGAAATCTGATTGGTAACGGTACATTGTATAGAAGCACAGACACTGTCAAGGTATTCTGTATCCAAAAAGAACTTATCTAGAGTGAATTTTGACAATGTACTATACTTACTACTGTATATGGCTGTGGTTGCCATGTAGTAAACCTAAAAAAAATGAATTACACAAGTTCCTATGGTTTAAAGCGTATTTAAAAGCTAGAATTAAACATTTTATATATTGCAACTTACCATTTCTTAGATGTGGTGGTTACATTTGTTTTCTATTCCATGCTGTACGGTATCTCTTTAGATGCAGTGTTTTTAGACACTGCTCCTTTCTTGTTGGAACTGAAAAGCAATTGCCTATCTCCTCATCTTTGTAATATAGGGAAAGTGTTCTGTAATAAACAGAAGTAGCCTGGGCAGGGCTAATAAAACTCGAATTTCAGAGTCACAAAGGCGCTGTGTTGTCAGCTCACTACAGGAAGATGTAAGCTCACTTGGTTTTTGGTGCGTAAACAGGTATTTTTTGCACTTATCAAACAGATAAAACACTTTCAGTGACAAACTGAATAGATCAAAAAGGAAAAAGCGAATACGAAACATTTGATGTTAGGGTTTTTGTGTACTTTAAAGTAGCTTTTTTTATTGATTTAGTACCTTACCTGGTCTGATTAGCCATAAGACCAGTGTGTATATACAATGCTGTTTAAAAGGGATGAGGTGGTAACCCTATCTATTGGATAGTTTCTAAAAAGCAGCCACATGCCTCGATTGCCTTGTGACTTTGTCTGTCTTTTTCTTTTGCCCAGTTATCCCAGCCTCCTTCATGTGGCCCTTCAGATCTGCTCTGGTATGAAGTATCTCTCTTCTTTGAACTTTGTGCACCGGGATCTAGCCTCTCGAAACTGCCTGGTGGGAGAAAACCTAACTATTAAGATAGCTGACTTTGGGATGAGCCGCAACTTGTACGCTGGAGACTACTACCGGATACAGGGGAGAGCAGTGCTGCCAATCCGATGGATGGCCTGGGAGTGTATACTCATGGTAATTGAGCCTTCCTAGTGCTTTGTCAGATTTTACTTTTCTTCTCCTTGTTTGTTTTTATGGCAGCTGCTTATAAATTATACCATTTTCAGAAACCAGTTTGTGTAAGTGAGGCTTAAAAGAGAGGTTTGGGCATGTTGGGCATGAATACGGCTGCCAGACTCATTCACCTTTCCAACCGCTCCATCTCCGCCACCCCCCTCTGCCAATCCCTCCTTTGGCTTCCAATTGCGCAACGAATCAAATTCAAAATCCTAACACTGACGTACAAAGCTGTCCACCACACTGCCCCGAACTACATCACTGACCTAATATCCAAGTACCACCCAGCACGCACACTCCGCTCCTCACAAGACCTCCTTCTCTCTAGTTCCCTGGTCTCCTCCTCCCATGCCCGCCTTCAGGACTTTTCCAGGGTGTCACCCATCCTCTGGAACTCCATTCCCCCACCCATCAGAATATCACCTACTCTCCTCTCCTTTAGGCGCACCCTGAAAACCCACCTCTTCAGGGAAGCCTACCCCACCCCCTGCTAACTTGCCAACCTCCTCCACTCTTCCTACCACCCCATCCCCCACAGCTATCTCCTCCTGTGCCACCATCCCCTCCCTCCTAGATTGTAAACTCGAAAGAGCAGGGCCCTCGATCCCCTCATGTTTTGCATTGTATTGGTATTGTTCTGTCACATGTTCTGTCCCCCTTTGTAATGTACAGCGCTGAGCGAACTATTGGCGCTTTATAAATACTGTATAATAATAATGTTTTTGTTTTTTTTAAGTCATGCTTACCTAGGTGGATGCTGCATCTGTTCCCCACTGACTCTAAGGCTGAGAACTGAGTGATAGAACACCGCCGATCGATCCGTTCTCCCCGCTGTTCTTAGCAGCAAGTGTTGACTGTCAGTCACCGCTGTCTTCTCCACCCCTCCAGCACTCACTAGAGTGCCAGGCTAGGGAGGGGAGGAAGCAGCTGCTGGCTCAATCTCCCAGTGGCGCAGCCGAGGAGCTGAGCCAGGTACTGGACCAGCTCTGTGACGTCAGCCGACAGCGGCTTTAGCCCATTGTTGGCTGCTTACGGGTCATAGGAGTGCAGAACGAACTGCACTCCTGTGATCCACTGGAGAAGTACAGCCAAAAGAACTTTGACAATCATGACAATACCAGGAGTATTGAATTAAAATTCACAGAAGTCCGCTAAGTAAAATTTTGTTCCAGTAGACGTCTGGAGGTCTCATGTTTGTGCTATTACTCAGCCCCCCTTTACATTACAGTCCCACCATTTACATCACAGTGCCTCTTTACAATACAGTCCCCCATCTTTACATTGTACAAGGCAGTCCGCCATCTTTACATCACAGTTTCCCCCATTTGCATCAAAGCCCCCCCCCCCTTTACATCACAACTTCCCTTTACAATACAGTGCCCCCTTTACATCACACTCTCTCCCCAATTACATTGCAGGCCCCCATCTTTACATACAGTAACAGTCCTCCTCTTTGCAACCTTGTTGCCCACTTTTACATCACAGCCCCCAATCTTTACATCAGTCAGTCTCATCTCCTTTACATCCTAGTCCCCCATCTTCACATTGCAGCCCCCTATCTTTACATCACAGTCCCCCTTTACAAAATATCACCCCCTTTACATCAGAGCCCACTTTACATTGCAGGCCCCTCTTTTACAGTACAGTCCCCCTTTTATATTATAGGACCCCCTGTTACTTCTCAGTGCCCCCCTTTACATGGCAGTTCACAGTTTACAGAGCAGCCAGCACTCAATTCCTTTAAATAAGTGTGCTCATCTCCCCCCTTCGCTTCCTGTCCTCATAGCAGGGGGCTAGAGGTGCGAATGATGGGTCTGGATGGAGGGTGGGAGCTTCCCAACTTCTGTTAACAAGTGAATAATTGGTTGCTAGGACCGCCCCACATCATAGCAATTAACTGGCTTCTTGCTAACTTGAAAGCAGGGTAGCCCCTGCCCTCCATCCAGACCGATTGCACCTCTTGCCCTCTGCCCTGCAGATGGCAGCAGAGGCAGCGGCAGGAGGAAGAAAGGACAACACGGGCAGCTACATTGCAAGGCCATGGCATTCCGGACAGACCTGTCACTTGGTCTGGGTCCAGACCGTGGTCCGCCATTTAGTGTTGCCTAAGTTAGGCTATTGTCCTTTATATAACTCCACTACTGTAATGCTCAACCTATAGGTTTGAACCTGTATGTTGCTTCTGAAAACTTCAATAAAATACTTTTGAAAGAAAAAATAAGCTAAGACAAAACCCCTAAACATCAACCGTTCTTCCACACAGGGAAAATTCACCACAGCCAGCGATGTCTGGGCATTTGGGGTGACGTTATGGGAGATTTTGATGTTATGTAAGGAGCAACCATATGGAGAGCTGAATGACGAGGATGTGATTGAGAATGCCGGAGAAATCTTTCGAGACAGCAAGAAACAGGTAAGTGTGCTTGAGAGATGTCATTGGTCTTGTTTATGAAACTGAAGCAGATCAATAAAAGAGTTTCCCATAACAAAGATGTGCCCTGCCTATTGTAACCTGCACTAATCTGGCTTTTGCTAACAATCAGTATGGTTGGATTCTTGCATTGTGACTGTTGCAGGAAAATACATTACAGGATAAGTCATCTACTGGTTTCAGCAAAATATACTAATAGAGATCTGACCCTAGGCTTGCACTGACATAACATCAGCAGTAGGAACATTCTGTTAATGTCTTTCTGTGTTGTAAATTTCTTCATGAAAAATGTTAATAATTTAAAAAAAAAATAATCAGACACAAGAATAAAATATGAATAACATTAAAGTATAACTAATCACTAAGCTTTTTTAACATTTTGGATAGCGTTGAGAGGGGTTGGAACACCTGTCAAGTTTTTATTGCTACCCTCTTTACAGTATATGTCCTGTTTACTGTTATCATCAAGCATAAAAGTGAAAGAAAATCCCAAATTTTTGAGTTGTCAGCAGAACAGGAATATTCCAATGGGGACACTAGTTCTGTTGATCCTGGTGACAACCAGGGATTCCCTCACTTTGGAAGGATTTCCTCTCGCTTCCTGCTTTATCTGTGGGACGGGAAATGAAGGAAAGTCTCCCTAATGGGGCACAGATGGCAAAAAAAAAAAACCTGACAGAGATTATAACGCTCTATTACAGTATCCATAATGAAAAAAAGTCTATTTTCAAGAAGTAAAAAAAGATGCAGTTAGAAATACAATTTTAGTGAGTTTTTTTTCCTCACTGGCCTTCATTCACCCAAAAAATTCAGATAGTTCTCTGCAGAGCTTCATCCATTCTGGAATGCAGGGCTGATGGGATTAATCCGTCACCTCGGTTAAATCTTAAAATATCTTCGTGGTGCCAAATACTTTTCAAAAGCCACATAGACCTCATGGGAGTCTTGTTAATAAGGTATTAATGTAAATTTTTGTGAAGTAGTCACTCTGCTAGTTGAAACATCATATTTATCATGTATGACCAAGTACTTTATTGTACTGTCAATTGAAAACAATGGTCCTGTGGACCTTCAAGTATAATCAAAGGCAAAACTTTTTTTTCAGTCTTAGAGTGTAAATGGATTAGAACACGTCAGGTTTTTTTTGCTTTCTGTGACTGTTTACCAATATCAGTGAAAGTAAAACAAAATCCAAAATTTTGGATTGCCCCAAAAAAGTAAAAGGGAAATCTTCCAATGGGGGCACTAGTTCTGGTGACCTGGGAGTCCCCAAGGAAATTTGCAGACATTTCCTCTCACTTCCTGTTTGGTTATGGGCCAGCAGGTGAAGGGAAATAACTGTAATGGGACACAGATAGCAGAAAAAAACTGACAGAGGTTATAACCCTCCCTTAGGCTGGCCATACATTATACAATTTTCTTGAGATTTTTGGTTTAGATTTACCAAAAACCATATAATAGTAGGTCAAAACTAACAACACTTTCAATTGTATCCAATTAGTTGGGCTCTTGCACTACATAGTTGAAGGTAAATCTAAAAGAAATTGGGCAGGCATTGGACAGAAAATTGTACAGCGTATGGCCAGCCTTACTCTATCCAAAATTAAAAAAAAAAAACAAAACTTTAACCACTTGATAACCGGGCTATAGCCGAATGACGGCTACAGCGCAGTTGTCCAGTTCTGGGAGGGCCTCAAATGATGTCCTCCCAGAGTGCCCTGATGATCAGTGCCCAGCAGTGCCACCCACTAGTGCCTAGCAGTGACACCCGTCAGTGCCACCCATCAGTGCTGCCTATCAGTGCCCATCATCAGTGCAGCTTCATCCGTGCCACCTCATCAGTGCTGCCTCACCCATGCACATCAGTGAAGGAGAAAAATTACCTGTTTGCAAAATTTTTATCATAGAAACAAAGAAAAACTTTTTTTTTTTTCAAATTATTATTTTTTCTTTTTTTGTTCATCTAAGGAAAGCTCTATTTGTGTGAAAAAAATGATAAAAATTTTCTATGGGTACAGTGTTGCATGACCACGCAATTGTCATTCAAAGTGTGACAACGCTGAAAGCTGAAAATTGGCCTGGGCAGGAGGGGGGTATAAGTGCCCATTAGGCAAGTAGTTAAGACCAGAACTAACAGCATCCCTTTTAATGCTGGCTTCTGTACTAGCTTCTATTTGTTGTTTATTTACTTGCATGCCCTAAAGGGTTCATTTACTTCCCCGCCCCAATCCCACCCCCCTAAAATCTAAAGGACAGTAAACTGGCCCTTTGTTTGAAAAGTTTGGAGACCGCTGGTATAGACTATTGGCGTGCATCATTTTCATCAAATTTGCATCCTTCCAGCATTGACCAGAGTATTAATAAAGTAGCTAAAGCTACAGAAACATTTTCAACCCCTTGTGACAGTGTGTTTGTAGAGGTAACGCTCAAAATGGATTTAAGACCCTACTGCCAACCATTGGTGCCAAGGCTGCAGGGGACCTGTCCTTGTCCCAAGTACACAAAGGAACTGTACCACCACTTTTTTGAACTTTATTCCATAAGAAACCACCAAATACCACTCCTACTCCAAACGTTGTTTGTAATGCATAGTTCCCTAAAGAATAAATCTCATTGAAAAAGAGGATTTGGCGGTGGTGCTTCCCCACGTGACAATGCTCAGGCCATACTTAAGCCCCTAGGTACCGTTCTGGATGGGAAAGGATTTGATGAATCAATTATACTGTATGCTGACTGTTATGCTGGCTACTGGCTATGCGGTGTTGTGGTTGCTTTGATATTTGAATGTTTATATATTTAGTGGTATGCCCCTGTTGGGTTTTTATTGCTGTATCCTCACTGAGGAGAATCCCAAGTTCTATTTGTCCCAGTGACCATTATCATCAGTATCACCACAACAGGTGAGTGTAAATCTTCCAATGGGACACTTGTTTGACATCTGTTTTGAAGAGAAGATTTCAAAGCACTTCTTGTGGTGTCTCCAGAACATGAAGTAATGGGGAAGGGGACTGTTATTTTCTTAGTTCTAGGTCTAGACTAACATTCTCTACTCCTCTTACTTTTACTCCAGGTCTACCTGTCCCGGCCACTTATCTGTCCTCCATCGCTGTATGAGCTAATGCTGCAGTGCTGGGCCAGAGACTGCAGGGAAAGGCCCTCGTTCCAGGACATCCATGCTTTGCTTACCTCCCATGCTCTCTGTTGTTCCACTGTGGACTTGAAGGAGTAACTGGAGCACCACACACTCTACGAACACCCTTCAATCTTCCATCATTATTGTTTGCGATCCAGCCTTGAAAAACATCTCATCATTTCATCCTGAGCATCAGCCCATGACCCCTTGTCAGCTGTTCCATTTTACTGTCTCCCCAGTCAAAAACACTGGATTGGTTACAAGCAGACAAAACGCTATACACTGAAACATACAATGTGAACACATTGGGTGCCATAACACTAAACTGTACATGTCTACACTGGATCTTGCATTGACTACACTGTGGGGTTGATTTAATAAAGGCAAAAAGCGCACTTGCTTAGTGAATGCGGTAATACTTCACTTTGGGAATACTTTACAATCAGGTCCAAGGAAAATAAAAAAAAAAAAAAAAAAACCAGCATTCCTGCATGCACATGATTGAATGATGGAGTTTAGCAGAGTTTCACCACATGTATTATCCTATGGGGAACTCACTTGCAAAGTGCACAGTCTAGCCTTTAGTAAATCAACCCCAAGTTACATAACCTCAAGGTCAAGTTAATACAACCTTATTAAAGGACCACTACTGGGAAAAGATACAGTATGTGAAAAAAACAGCTATAATATTTACAGCTATGCATGCAAAAGTTGTTACTGCACCTCAACAGAACTTGGAATATATGACAGTTACAACACTTTGCTGCTATGTTAGGGAAAAAGAGACAACAAAATTAAATTTGCTAGTTTTTCTTCTAAGGGATTAACTTGATAGGAAATAAGCCCTGTGTTGGAAAATGCTGTCCCCACCTATACTACCTTCACTTATATTATACTAGGTCTTAATAATATCCCAAAATGTTTCTGTATATTTCCGTTAATATTATTGCTTTTTCAGACCAATCAACTAATGTGTAGTGGTCCTTTAATAATGCCAAAGCAAACAGAGATTACTCATGGCCACCAGATTTCAGTTTACTGTAGCAATATTACTATCAAGATTATTTCTGATTGGATGTTGTGGGTTACTGCTTCTTACAAGTAATTTATACACCTTGCCTTGCCTTAATGAATAAGCCCATACATGTTTTACCCACTATATCTCCACCTTAACATTTATACAACATTCCAAGTAAAAATCCATGATCAAAACCACTAGCAAGTGCCTGAGGAAATAACTTTTTGATCAGAACCAAGACGTTTTGGAATGTAATGAACAGAGCCAACACTTGCATGTTTTCTTAATCTGGCCATACATGGGTAAGTTTTTTTTGTTCCCCAATCCACAGAAGCAAAGTGGATAGAGGAATCCTCTCTGCTGCGCTATTGTAATCTGACAGCAGGGATTTCTCTGTTGTTAGAATACTCTGATTAGCACTGCAGCCAATTGGCTGCATCACTGATAGAACAACAAGCTGGTCTGAAAGACGTCAGTCACTAGATCAACTTCTCTGGAATGAAAACTGCAATAGATGGATCAAAATTTGGCTGGTCGCTGCTAAACTGGCCAAATTTTGACTCGTCTATGACCAGCTTTATGCTGGCCATTCCCCTTACAGACAAATTCTACATTTAGATGAATCTAAAAAATGTCAGGGCCTACTGAACAATGTATTTTGTTTGTATTCATTTAGACGAGCCCTTGCAATAGTTATCAGAGCTAAAGGAGATGGTGCAAACAGATTGTAGTTTGTGTGGCCAATTTTAGATAAGCTTAAAGTATGAACAAGGATTGAAATGTGGGTAGGCCCCATTGTACACTTTTGAAAACAAAGGCCCGAAATGTCAGAATTAATTCAGATGTCACAGACCAGACTCAGTCACTCTGAGGTTTTTAGTTACTTAGGTACTAGCAATCCCAGCACAGCACTGCTGGCTCTCTGTAACAGAACCACCTAATACCTAGACAGATGCACCTTATTCAAACACACCTGTAGAACAGTCACACTGTCCCTTATCATTCAAGTCTTACTGCCTGTCTGCATCAGCAAACTTTACAAGCTCCTCTATATGTTTCTTGATGATGTGTAATTGGGATTGAGGAATTCTTATGATACATATGTTGGATTTCCAGCCAAAGAACGTTTACGCCAGGAATTTAAAATATGAGTGGCATCCTCCAGAAGACATCTCTACTATAATCCCACATACAGAACTCCCTATTCTACAGTGGCGTGATGTAGGAACTGCCCTTTCTTTGATCACCAAAACCTGGGCACACTTGCTGCTTGAGAAATGTCGGCCAGATGCCCTGAAATAACACTCCACCATGGTTGTGTACACCATAGCTCATTTTTTCTCTCATAAGAACTTCACTTCAGATTCTTCATATTTTAATTTTGATGAAGAGAGATTAGAAAATCATTACAAGCAGTTTTAGATCTACCCCCAGATCTTCAATAGGAAGATTTACTTCTATGATCCATTGCTACATTTCTTGGAGCTGTGCCCTGCATTGTATCCAAGAACACAGATTAAACTTCCATGTCACACTAGTGATTCTGACCCTGACAACTAAACTGCTAAGTGTCCACTGACCTTCTTCTATGGTAGTGCTTCTTTGCAGGCAAAATGTTGCTTAGTCCCTTCCTAGCAATCATAGTTCTGTAGCGTTTTGGCCAGCCAGGTAGCAACACCTTTTCGATAAAATGTTGTACTTTGGTGATGCAGGATGCCAGTGTGACATCAGCTAGTGGGTTTTACACTTCTAGTCTTGGTGTACCAACCATGGCCAGCATTATATTGTAAACCGTATGTTCAGGTGTTGAAGTGTCATTGATTTTTCAAAGTCAACATACCGTAATCTTCTCAAAATGATGTGTGCCAGGCCTTGGCTTTCCTCCCTTCTAGTTTGTGCTTCCAAGGGAAAGGATGGTCCCTGAATCTGCAGTCTTAGCCTCTCTGCAAGAAGTTATTGAAACTGATACCAATGTCCAAAATGTAGTAGTGATGTTTTAGGATCAGGGTATTTTTTTTTAGGTTGTTTCTCGCACTCTTGGAAGTTTGTGTACGTTGAAGTTAGTCCCATAGAAGGGTGCAAAGAAAAGAGGACGTCCTTAACCTGGATGGTTTAGGAAGCATTGAGGGAAATAATAGGGGCCCAAAAGAAAATGTAATTTTTTACATAAATTTCACAGATTACCCGCCATTCAAACCTGACTTATCAGTTTGGTGGTGAAGTTTTCCTTTAAATCTATGTGAACACCATGCTCATTCTAGATTTTTGTACTCTTGATAACATCTCAGCATGTCCTTACTGCCAGCTTTGTCTACAATGACCATCCTCACCTCACTGGAAACACTGGACAGTCACCACCGTGCCATAATCTCAGTAATGTGATTATACGCAGTGATTCTAATGAGTGAAAACTACCACCGAATGCTTATTTGACATTTATGTCAGTATTTATGCGCATAAAACATTTCTACTTTGGAGAGGGCCTGTCTTTTTGTAGCATGGTGATTTGAAATATGAAAGTACATTTTTAATCAAAAGTGGGTATTTTCAGAGCTTCTTCTTTCTGTAAAAAGACCTTGTTTGAATCCTGTCTGTAAGCTCTCTATTGCACTAGCTGAAAAAAAAAGCCTATAGTTCCTATAATAAAGTGATGTCAGATGGGAGGAGAGGCTACAGGAAGTTGCATACAAGGAACTTTTGTTACCTTGTTTTTGAAGGTGCAAGCTATCATTGTCATCCTTGCTTTACAGCTTTCAGAGTCACTGCAGGTTAGATGTTCTGCTATCACTAGAATTTTTCTTTTCCTGGTCAGTGAGTGGAGTGTGCCCCTTTAAACTGAACTCTAGGTAAAAAAACAAACAACAACAAAAAAAAAAACAACAAACAGCCAAATCCACCATTACAATACTTTTAAGAAGCGTTTTATATTCTAAAGGATTTGCATTTCTGCTAACCCAGTCCTGAGACTTCCACAGCCCTGTCAGTCAGACAGAGCCAGACTGGTGACATGATTTTTTTTTTTTTATACTGCAGTTATGAAACATTGCTTCGGTCACTGTTCTACCTTCAGCCTATGAAAGGAAATAAAGGAGCAGTAATTACATTCAGGTACTTACACTATCTGCATTTAAAAACACCTATAACTGCAATAATTTTATTTTTGAAATCTGCCGCGACTTCAGTTTTAAAGCGGTTCTAAAGGCTCAAGGCATTTTACCCTCATGCATTCTATGCAAAAAGATGAAAAACCTTCTGTGTGCGAGTCCCCTCTGATCCAGTGATGTTCACAAAAGCCTCCGCTGTATGAGTATGACTCTCCCTTCTCATTGGCTGAGACAGCAGTGGGAGCCAATTGGCTCCCACTGCTGTCAGTCACAGCAAGTGAGCCAATGAGGGGCGAGCTCAAGGTGGGGGGGGGGGCTGAACCACAGCTCTATGCGTCCATAAGGCTGCATTCACACTTAAGCGTTTTTTGAGCTTCAAGCTACAAATCGCTAAAGATTAAAAATTGCTGATCATGCGAATGGCACCATAGAGAAAATTTATTTTTATTTTTTTTTAAGATTGAGCGTTTTTGGAGCCTCGAGTTACAAATTGCTCAAGTGTGAATGCAGCATTATGGATGCATACAGCAGTAGCTCAGGAATGAGCATGCAGCTTTCTCTGGGGGTACTGCTCGAGGGGGAGGAGCCAGGAGCGCCAGAGGGGACCCCCCCCCCAAAAAAAAAAAAAAACCCCTGAAGCTTTAGTGTCACGTTAAAGCAGAACTATAGGCAATTTTTTTTCATCTTGAATAGAGCAAAATGTTATAACCCCTCTCAGATTTTTTTTTTTTTTTTTCACCCTGTGTCCCATTGCAGAGATTTCCCTTTACTTCCTGTCCCATAGCCAAATAGGAAGTGAGAGGAAATCTCTGCAAATTAAGGGAATTCTTTGGGGACCCCCAGGTCACCAGAACTAGTGTCCCCATTGGAGGATTTGACTTTTCTGGGGACAACCCAAAATGTGGGATTTTCTTTTACTTTCAATTATAATGGATAAATAGGACAAATAAAGAGGGAGAATCTCCCTAATGGGG